ATCAGTCCTAGTCTTGTGGTGTTAGAAAAGTGTTTCTTAGATAACCAAGTTTAGCCTGTGAATTTGAAAACTTGAAACCATATCCAAATTAAATAGGTGCATTGAGATTGATTCTTAGAATCCTCTCTCTTTTGCTTCCTAAAATGAATTAAAAGTAATTAAAACTAAGAAATTGGGGCTGAGACGATGGTTCAGTTGGTAAAGGGTTTGCTGTGCAAGCAGAGAGGCTCAGGTCCAGGTTCTTGGCATCCAAGGCAAAGCTGTCATGGTAGCTTGCTCCTGTGCCTTACTTCTGGGAGGGGAGGCAGGCAGGGCAGGGCTCCACAGAGGGATCCTGGGGTACATTGGCTATCCAGCTCAGCCAAATGGCCAATCTCCAGCCTTAGTGAGACACCCTGTCTCAGAAATTAAGTTGATAACCTGACTGAGGAAAACAAAGTGACATCAACCTCTGACTTCCACCAATGCCAGGTTGGGTAAGAGCAGCTGCACGCACACACACACACACACACACACACACACACACACACACACACACACCTCAAAAGTAATCACTGAGAACAAACAACAAAAAGTATTGTTAGAAGTTTCAGTGCACTTTAACGTGGCCAACCAACAGAAGCTAAAGGTCTCAGAAGGAAGAAGTGTGGCATGATTTAGTGACTTAATATAGTCCTTAATCAGGTACAGAGATACAGTACAAACCTGATCCCAGTTACCAGATAACAGATATGCAGTACTAATCTAGTCCTGGTTACCAGATACAGACATGCAGTACCAATCTAGTGCTGGTTATCAGATACAGAGATGCAGTACCAGTCTACTCCTGGTTACCAGATAACAGAGCTATAGTATTATTGAGTACACAGAAATAGGAGATTTTTTCTTTTTTTTATTAGTTACAGTTTATTCACTTTGTATCCCAGCTGTAGCTCCCTCCCTCATCCCCTACCAATCCCACCCTCCCTCCCTCATCTCCTCCCATTCCCCTCTCCAAGTGGACTAGGGGAGGGGCATAGGGGGAAAAGAGGGAGGGAAGGCAGGATTGGGAGGAGATGAAGGAGGGGGCCATAGCCGGGACACAAATTGAATAAATTGTAATAAATGATAATAATAACAAATAAAATATAAAGAAAAAAAGAATAATCCCTTACAGCATAGAAATTTGAAGTTTTGTAGTATCTCTACTATTATTTCCACAAGGGAAGGGATGGCAATTCTCTTCACCCTTGGAAGTGCAAGCCAAATAAACCTTTTTTTCTATTTAACTGTCTAATTGAATTATCTCTGATAACAAAATAGATTATTTTATATATGTACAAATTTTTACATAAGGACATATTTTATATATGTTTCAAAAGATATAAAATCTCTATTCTTTTGAACATGTTGTTATGTAAGAATAAAAAAATTGGAATAATTTATTTAAGATACATAGTCAACAAGTGTTTGGGGGATGGTTTCCTATTTCAAGCTTATTAATTGTATAGGGGTAGCTTACCTACCCTTTCTTCCTTCCCTCCTTTCTTCTTTCCCTCCCTCTCTCCCTCCCTCCTTCCTTCCTCCCTTCTTTCCTTCCTTTCTTTGTTTCTTTTCTTGGTTTTTGGAGACAGGGTTTCTCTGTGTAGCCTTGGCTGTCCTGGATTCACTTTGTAGACCAGGCTGGCCTCAAACTCTCAGAGATCCGCCTGTACCTGCCTCCTCAAGTGCTGGGATCACAGGCATGCTCCACCCGTGCGGTGACTTTCATTTTCTTAAATGTATCTAACTCAAGTGTCTGTGCCTTTCAGTGCTTTAACTAGAGTCAGGCTTTCCTATGTGAGTACTATTTTCCTTTAACTGGGAACCTCCTAATAATTTAAATTTAAAAAGAAGTGTGGCAAAGGACATTTCCAATGCTTGGCAAGCCTGAAGTTTGTTGGAATTTCACTGTGGATAGCCAAGTATGAATCTAGACATTATTTTGAGTTGTTTAGTACTTCAAAAGCACTTTCAAAGGGGAATTGTTTTACTTATTTGAGATTCCAAATCAAATACACATAGAGATTTGGAAGATTTTCAACAGGAAGTAATCTCAATTCTATGTGACCACTAATCTTGTGCAGAAAAATTCAACTTTTAAGAACAAAGGAGAAGTATTCCCTTTCAAATTATAAATGCAAGGCATTGTAGCTTACACTGTTTTAATAATTACATGAAGAAACTAATTAATGATAAGTCCTTGTTTCTAGCTACATTCTATTAGCCTTTTAGTATTGGCCTGGACTTGAGAAACCTGGTTCAGTAGAACTTATTTTATAGGCATACACACTTTATCTGTGTCATAATAGCCATCCAGTGTCTATAGTAGATCTCCAAAGTGAGCATGCATATCTTATGATTGTCCCTATATATATATTGATATATCTATACCCCTGCACTTTGGTTTGAGATAAGGGGATGAACACATATACACATGCACAAATAAGGGTCTGGCCATGCAGTGGAGAAAGATGCTTGTTTTTTGTATTTTGATATGTATTTCGTGGTTAATCATTTTTTCTCACCTGTACCTGTCTTCATTACTATAAGAACACACTGCCTTGTAACATTAGTTTTATGAATTTTTACACCTTTTTGTATCTTTGTGATTAAAAATCTCCAGTTGTCTATTTTTTCATTGAAAAATATGGAATACCATTTTTACTAATATGAGTATGGCTTTCATTAACCGTAAAGATAATTTATCACTCTAAATAAAATTTGCTTTTATGAAGCAGCTGGAAAGGAGGCTGGCTATTCTCATATCTTTTAAACTGTGGTCAGTGATTTTATTGCCATCATCTTGACAAATATCTGAGTGAATTGAAACACTGGTCTCTAATTACATAAAGTAAAAGGTAATTACTGAGAGTATGTAGTTCTATTTCAACCAGTAAGTACTCTTAGTCATATCTAGCATAATATAACTATAACTTGAGGTGTTAAAAAGATATATGGGGTATCTTCTAATGATTTGGAGAAATCCCCATAATAATTAATGGTTATGGACCAACTGTAATTGATGATATCCAAGCTATGTGTGTAGACTATGTTTTTCTGAAGTGTCTTCCTAATCCTCTAATAGTTCAGAAGTCTTATATTTGCAGAATACATTTCCAAACTGTTTGTTTTCCTGTCCTATTTCCTAAATTGACTTTCTCTTTTCCCTCTCTCCTACCTCCTTGTCATCTAGTGTCTCAGAATATAATCCAGATTGTTCTTCAACTTTTGATCCTCCTACTTTCGCCTCAATGTTAGGACCACACCCCACTTAGAATTAACTTTATCTGTCTGATTATCTTCTGTTTATGAGAAAGTTGGGCTTTCATTTTTTTATCTGAGTTTAAATGCAAGTGCATATTTTAAATTTTTGACCATTAAAACTCTTCCTTGAGTCTTTCTGGAATGATATAGTTAAAAACTCTGGTTTTCCCAAATAATTAAAATGTCTTTCCATGTTGTTTGTGTTCCTCTTTCTAAGTATATATTATTTCTGTTTCTTTTAGCTTCTCAGTTCCCATTTTTCTCATAGTATTTCTCCTTCCACCAATTTCTTTAATCACATGTGCTACACTTTCTCTCAAAGTGTTATGCTCCTTTTTTAATAAAATATAGAACTCCCTTTATGATTTTATGTATATATTATTACTTCAGTTATCATAATAGTCACTACAAAGCAGCCCAAAGGAATGTGTTACAAAACCTCTCAAGAGTATAAAGTTGAAGTTTAGAACTGTTATAAAAATATTATATATATGGATAAAGCTAAAAAGAATGGAGAAGACAGTCATAGCAATGAGTGAGTTTGAAAACTAAACAAAATAAAGTTAAAAGTTCCTGGTGACTGATGGGTCTTGTAAGAATAGCCTATTCTGTGTCAATCAGTGGGGAGTGTGTATATAGCTAAATGAAAAGTAAGACAGAATCTAATTGTATATTTTCTTTTTGTTGTCAGATGAGACAGACATTAATTAGATCACAGTTTGCTTGTACTTATAAGGATGACTATATAATGACCAAGAATAAATGGAATAGTAATTTATCATCAAAGCCGTTGAGTGCTTCTCACTTGGAAAATGAAGTCTCTGGTAATTGACTTTGAACAACTAGTCAACCAACTGTTTTACCTTGTTAAAACTAGATTATTTTTGTAAAGTACTAAGATATGGAAAGACTTAGCCCTGGGTTTGTTTAAGAAATTGAATCTAAGTAGAGATTTATGGATAGGAATATGATATAATGTAATCTAAGTGGATTTAGAAAATAATTCAGTTTTGCCTGTTATAATTTTAAATAGATATTTATGTGTGGGATGAGAGGTAACATAATAAAATGAAAACTAATGTGATAATATTGCTACTTCTTGACCTTTAATTGAGTAGGATAATATATTACAAATAATATATCTTTAAATACTCTGTCCTTTTTTAATGATTATTTCATATGTCTCATGGTTTCTAATACTAAATATCATGATTCCTTTCCCTTTGTCATCCTTCATCACAGAGGGAGCACCTTCATCTGTTGGAAGAGCAAGACTTGAAACAAGTTCTGAAAATGTACATCTGGACAGAAGTAGAGATGATAAGATATTAAGAAAATCTACAGAAAATAAAACATCAAAAAGGAAACAAATAGATTTTAACAGTGAGAATATTTGCTGTGATGATGGAAATGAACCATACCAGCATAAAAATGTTAAGATTCCTAAAGTACCCAATGACTCACACACTAAAGCTGGTGGCAAACTAGTCAGAGGAGCAAAAGGCAACAGGTGTACTGCCAAGTACAAACTGATACCTGGCCAGACCACATTAAGCCAGTTTTTCAGGCTATGATTTTGTCATCTGTGTGCTTCAGATTTAGGTACGTATAAGACCATTCACCAAAGCCATTGGCTCACTTTTAAATCTCAAGATGTAAATTTTGATGCCTTATCATTTTGATAAATGTGTATGAGGCTCACATATTAACCACTATTCAAAAACACCAGTAAGTCAGAATTATGCAGAATTTTTGTGAAGTTTAATGGACAAGTCAAAGCATATCATTTGATTATTACATATCTTAACTAGTTTCTTTTAAAACAGACACTTAGGATAATACACAAGTCATGTCAACATTAAGGGCTTTTCTCTCCATTTGCAGTGAGCTGTCTGAAAGGATGATGTGGACCAGCAGCTGTCAGACTTGCCAGCAGGGCCGGTAGACTCTTCCCAGCATGCACCTGAGCACTGAAAGGGAACAAACAATGGCTATAATTACCACACAGAATTAAGAAAAAATTATAGACTTATTAATAATGAACTCCGAATAAATCAAACCACGATTACTGATTTTGAAAGATTTTCTGTGTTGACAGGGGTCCCCTACTATCTGAGAACTGAGCTTACTTGATTTTGTTATGCTCATACTCATATCCAAATCAGTTTTGCTCAGAGCTCACGTTATAGAGTTAATATGTAGGAATTAAGTTTTTAAAAGGCTACTCACTGTCAAAATCTCTCCTTCCTATAGGAAATTTAGCTGAGTTTTCTTCATCCCCAATTTCTCTCTTTTCTTGTGTTGACTCAGTGTTCTGAACTCCATTCTCAGCTGGAAAAGCTACTGGTCCTTTCAGAGCGAGGTAAGGTTTTATAGCCAGATTCAGTGGCAGACCATGATTTATGAGATTCTGTTTGGAGCCTGTGTTCTGTAAAGAGAAGATTGGTTTGCATACTAGCTGTCTTCTTTAGAGTAGAGCTAAAATACAGTTGCAGAACATTCTTGCTGACCAATTCTAAGATACTCTGCACTGCTCTTCACTTCCAAATATATTAGATACAAGAAACAAAGTTTTTAGGTAAGATGTGGGAAGCACCTGGTTTGTATGAACTTGTACATCTTAATACATACTGTGACATACTGTTTGCATGTATTCCTATTTATAAAATTAAAATACGAAGTTTACTTCTAGGTGATTTGTAATTATAAAAGTCATTTTCATTACTAGTGCAATAAAAGACAGATTACATGTACTTACCTTTGAATTTTTGTTCTCATCATCCGTCATGAAACCATTCTCATCGGTTTTGTATTGTTCCAGAGAAGGAGCAACAACTGATCTTTCTGCAGTATCTTCCTTCTGAAAAGCTTTTCCCATCCTAAATGTATTAAATACTATGTCGTCTTCTAAATTTCTTATGGACTTGGAAGCTGAAAGTAAAATACCTTGAGAAAACAAAGAAAAAGTCAGCATTAACACGTAGGAAGAGAGACTCATCTTTGCTATCCTTAGTTTGATGCTTGCATAAAGCCAAACAAGAATATGTAGGATAAAAAATTTCTCACTCTGCAGTGGCTAAATGATTCCTACCTTTATATATTTTCTGCCTGAATAGAAAACACTTGAAGGACTTATCTTTTCATCAGTTTAGAAATGACTCATCCTGTGGAGCCTAGTCTTTTGTAAAGCCACTAATGCCTGCATTGTTTTGGTTTTAGTGGCCTGTTGTTTATTTTGTGTGTGAATTTTCTCAGAATCTGATTAACGTCTTTAATGGAAGACTTTCTGTTGAGTGGATTATAGGCTTTTGAAAGTGGGTTGTTATTTAAGAAGACCACAGGACACCAGGCTTTCTTAATATTACTGTTTCCTTCTGTGTATTTTCTGATTAAGATATTAAAACAAGTTATTTAACTCATGGATAATAGGGATGAAAGTTTTATGTCCTTTTAATCCTTATTAAATAGAAGTTATCTCTAGGAAAGATTTTCCCTTATAAATACTCGATATGATCTTTTGTGTTTAAAGTACATATGCTTGTCGGTATAAACAAACAAAAAAATAAGACTGTTCATACTTCATCTAAAACTGATCTGTCTGATGTGTTTTATCTCAGTTCCAAGAGGATGAAACTGATTTTTATTAGTGAATTTAGTAATTAATAGATAAAAAGTCTGTGAAAAGAATATTCATGGTATTTATAAAGATTAATTTTAGAAATTTTAGATTTTTGCTTTGTTTCTTATTTATTGAGACAAGATCTTGCTTTGTATCCCTGGCTGACCTTAAACTTAAAGCAATCCTCCTGCCTCACCCTATCAAATGCCAAGATTACAGGCATGTGCTGCGCCACCATAGCCAGCTTACAAATTGTGTTTTTTAATAAAATTTCAGATTTAATTTCTAAGATTCTAATGGTTAATAAATTCTCATGCGTGCATGTGTGTGTTTGCGTGTATGTGCGTGTATGTGTGTGTATGTTTATAAAACTGTGTTTTTAGGTGTGGAATTTCTACCCATGGAATGTGTGTACGTTTGGTTTTAGAAATGCCAAATGTTTTTCAAAATAGTTGTAGCCAATTTATGCTTTCATTTAATGGGGTACAAGAATCCCTGTTGCCACATGTTTGGGCTTGACATTGCTTGAGTATCTCGTTATACTTTGAAATTTGATTCTGTAATTGCTAAAGAGGTTGAGCTTTTAGGTGTTTTATATGCTGTCTCCCTGGAACTGAGGTTTGAACTTAGGGTTTGGACACGCTAGCCAGATGCTCTACCGCTTTGAACTATGTCTCTAGGCCCCCCCCCCCCTTTTTTTTTTTTTTTATTCTTTAGATGGTGTAGCCCTGTTTTTCAATGGAGCCCAGGCAGGCCTTAAATTTTCAGTCCTCCTTAACATTCAGAGTAGCAGGAAGACCAGGCCTGGCTTTTAGTTGTTTTTTGATAATTGATTATGATGACTTTTCATGTACTATTCTGGACATTGGATGTGCATGTTGGAAATATTTTTCTTGGTTTGGGGCTTGTTAGTTCAACTTGTTCGTGGTGTGTTTTGGTGACCCAGGCTGCATAATATTCATATGTGAATTTTTTTCTTCATGTTTAATTATTTTTAATATGTTATTTGCTAAAGAAATCTTTCCTAATTCTACGATTATTAATACATTTCCATATATTTTCCTTTCAAAACTTAAATATGATCATTTTCACAATTATCATTTATTATTAAACCTAAATTATTTAGAATGTTGTGAACAATGGTATATTTTGGCTTTTTGGTATATTTTTGGTTTCTGTTGTCTCTACATACCTCCTGGGTCACTATACGTCACCTCCTACTGCCCTGTGGGACTGTCGGTGCAGTATGCCAGGCTCCTTGAATGTGTGGGCCCCTTCCTGAATTCTTCACTCTGCTGTCACATCAGCAGCCTTATCAATCTATTTTTTAATGTCTTATAGGTGAAGTCTACCAGACATTTCATAAGCAATGGCATTTCTCATCAATTTTTCTTAAGCAGTCCTGTGGCTATTCTTGGACAATTCTTAGTTCAAAAGCATATGGATTCCTGTAGGACTTTCCATGAAGGCATAGTAGTCCAAATCTCCAGTGAGTATTGAAATGGAGGGAGCGGACATCTTTGCAGTAGGAATGATAATTTCATGGAGGATGTAGCATTTACCCTAGAACATGGCCATAGGTCTCTATGGTCTAAAGGGCACTGTCTAAAGGGCAGGGGATCCCTTTCTATTTCTACCTTACTGGCAGTTTGACCACAAATTTTTAGATTTTTTTAAATTTATTTTTTTTATTTTTGCATCAATCTTTATTTTATTTTTAATTTATTTACTTTGTATCCCCCCTCTAGTTCCCTCCCTCCTCCCCTTCTAACCTTTCCCTTTCTCCCCCTTCTCCACACACTCCCCTCCCCAAGTCTACTGGTAGGGGAGGGTTTCTTTTTCTTCCTTCTGATCCTGGTCTGTTAGGTCTCATCAGGACTGGCTGCATTGTCATCTTCTGTGGCCTGGTAATGCTGCTCCCCCTCAGGGGGAGGTAATCAAAGAGCCGGCCAATCAGTTCATGTCAGAAGCAGTCCCTGTTCCCATTACTGTGGAACCCACTTGGATACTAAATTGCCATGGGCTATATCTGTGCAGGGGTTCTAGGTTATCTCCATGCATTGGTTGGAGTATGAGTCTCAGGAAAGACCCCTGTGTCAATTTTTTTGGTTCTGTTGCTCTCCTTGTGGACCTTCTGTCCTCTGTAGCTCTTACTATTATTTCCCACTTCTTTCATAAGATTCTCTGCATTCTGCCCAAAGTTTGGCCTTAATACCATATGTATTTTGGAAATGGTCTTATAATTTTCTTCTTTAATAAGAGAATAGATTTTTTTTCTCATATTAAAGTTTTCATGTGTTTGTAAAACAAATCTTTTACTTATATCCAACTTGGAAATGTTTCATTAAGTAACATTAATTTTATTATCCTGAATGAGACCTCTAAGTTCTCTTTTTAATATTGATGTATCTGAGTTTCAAATTAGATTCTAATAATTTCATAAAATATAATAAGGGAGAGTGTATTCCTTTACTGTTGAACTATTTGGGTGTGGGATTTTCTTGGTAAGATTAAAAAAACTTTTTCTGTCTTTTCAGCTATTGAGAGGTATTTAATTTTCCACTTTTTGTTTTAGGAATTTACATTGTATAGTGTCTGCAAATTAACATTTTATCAGATAGACATAATGCTTAGTCACTTGAGGCTACTAAAATTAAAATAGGCAATTGTTTCCTGGGTATTACTTAAACAAAAATCTCTGTCTTTGCTCTTAGAGAGTGCTTATCTGTTTTTTTCTGTTGTTTGTTTGCTTTTAATCTCCTTAATGCTGTTGCTTGTGGCCTGGTTCCCCACTACCACTCCCCTCCTAGCATTTAAAACCTCCTTTGAAGGTATGTGCATAATTTACAGACATGCCTGTTAGTACTAACCTTTTTCTTTTCTTCTTTGTTGCAGTCTTGGAGTATAATAAATATTAATAATTATGTATTTTGTTTTAAGTTTCCACTGGGTGAATTGTCTTGGCTAGGCTTCCTCTAAGATTGGGGCCAAATCCAAAACATTCTGACAGTTTAAAAAATTAGCTGGTGTTTTCCTTTATTTTGCTTAAACTGTTCTAGCCTCTGAACACTGTGAGGTATCCCCAAACCATTTAATTACGGAGATAGTTTCCAATTTTTAATGTTGACTTCTTTTACATTGGCTACTCTGATGTGCAATAGAGCATGGCAAATTTTTTTTTCATTGATGCTGAAAATGAGAGTTCCCGAAGTGGTAGAAAGCAACTTAGAAGAAGAAGAAGAAGAACAACAACAACAACAACAGCAGCTATTGCCAGAACAACAACAACAACAGCTATTGCCAGATGGAATTGTATGGCTCAGGAAATCTGTATAACCACTAGGTTTATATCAATTGTGGCTTCATTTTTCTGAAGATTTACTGTGCACACCATCTCTGTAAATCATGTTGTTATTAAACTTCTCTTATTTGTTACAATTAGCATACTGTTGCAATGTGGTAAGAATAAGTTTTTTGAGAATCATGGCTGATGATACTCTTAAATTATTTGCTTTGCAGGTGATCAATTAGCCTAAAAGCCAGGAAAGCATGAACTTGTATATTCAAATAATTTTTCCTTAGTTTGTTGCTTTAAAAAACTGAAAATGTAAATCAAAAGGACTCTGAGATTCCATCTTACACCCATCAGAATGGCTAAGATCAAAAACTCAAGTGACAGCACATGCTGGTAAGGATATGGAGAAAGGGGAACCCTCCTCCATTGCTGGTGGGAATGTAAATTTGTACAACCACTTTGGCGCTTGTACAGTCAATCTGGCACTTTCTCAGAAAATTGGGAATAGTGCTACCTCAAGATCCAGCTATACCGTTCCTGGGTGTATAACCAACAGATGCTCCACCAAACAGCAAGGACACTTTCTCAACTATGTTCATAATAGATGTCCCTCAGTGGAGGAAAGGATACAGAAATTGTGGTATGGAATACTACTCGGCTATCAAAAACAAAAATAAAAAAACACAAAAAGAATGAAATCATGAAATTTGCAGGCAAATGGATGGAACTAGAAAAGATCATCCTTGAGTGAGGTAACCTAGACTGAGAAAGACATGCATGGTATGTACTCACTTATTAGTGGATTTTAGCCATATAGTGTAGGATAAATATACAACAATGCACAGACCCTAAAAAGATAAGTAACAAGGAGTATCCAAGGGAGGATGCTTAAATCTCTTACAGAAGGGGAAATAGAATAGACAGAGGTAATGGTTGAAGAGAGGGAACAAGGTTTTCATTTTCTAATAAATACTTGCTTGGGGGATGGGATTGGGAGGAGATGAGGGAGGGGTTAACAGCCCGGATACAAAGTGAGTAATTTATAATAAATAATAAATTAAAAACAAAAAAAATTGCTTATTTCTAACTCATGAAAAATTTACTTCCTAATACTTTGTTTTTTATCTTACATTTAAATCTTCCATATTAATTCTTACATTTT